CCAGTGTTCTCGGCCTTCCATGAGATAGTCTACATACAATTGTCCAGGTGGAAGGAAGCACATTGCTAGCCGTCACCGCAAGTACCACCGGTCCTATGGGGGTGCTAAGGAGTCAGATGGGTCCACAGCCTGAATCCCCATCTTGAGACCAGATCTTGAGCTCCAGACACACCTGAGGAACAAGGTGATACAGACCCTGCACAATGCAGGGCGTTGCCCAATTTGCCAATGTGGGGGGGAGGGTATTTTTTAATTGACTCATTTTATACTCTAAGATGTCTCCTATGAAGTTGTTTGATTCATGAAACAAATCTCAAAAGGGGGGAGGGGAGCAAATATAAGACACACACATACAGACACACACAGTGTGTGTGTGTGTGTGTGTGTGTGTGTGTGAGAGAGAGAGAGAGAGAGAGAGTGTGTGTGTGTGTGTGTGTGTGTGTGTGTGTGTGTGTGTGTGTGTGCGTGTGTGTATGTGTGTGTGTGTGTGTGTGTGTGTGTGTGTGTGAGAGAGAGAGAGAGAGAGAGTGTGTGTGTGTGTGTGTGTGTGTGTGAGAGAGAGAGAGAGAGAGAGAGAGAGAGAGAGAGAGAGAGAGAGAGAGAACCAAGAAATCAATAATAAACAGCACAGAAGATGCATGAGGTAAAAGGCAATCTCAGCTAAGCATAAACAATATATTTGATGTATGAATAAATTCTATTTTCAAACAAAGATATGTAAAACTCTAAGGAAGAAGTAAAGAAAGTCTACTTCAAAAGCATCAAATTGCTGCCCTACCCCAGGATACAACACACTCACTCACTCACTCACTCACTCACTCACTCACTCACTCACTCACTCACACATGCCCTCTGCTGCCCTCTGCTCCATTTGATGTCCAAGCCCAGCCAGTGGCACAGTTCCAGGCTCTGCCCCAGCAACCCTGCCTCTCCAGCCCAAAGCAGCCCCATGCTGGCCATGTCTGGCGTCCTCCCTTTTTCCTATTTCAGATGCAGGTTCCTTTTCCTCTTCTCAGCTCCCACATCCCCTTTTCGGTTTCACTGCTCACTTCCCCTCTCAGCACTCAAGTCCTGTACCTTTACCTTGCTTGTTCCCCTTGAACGGGGCCCCCCTGAGCCTGCCTGACCCAAGCACACACCCTCTTCTTGTCCCCACACCCTGAGTTCCCAGCCTTGTTTGCTTTTGAACATTACCTCCAGCTTTTGAAGGAGCCCTAAGTGTATGTCCCCGATGCCGCCAGACCATCTCCCCAGCTTCAACTCAAAATGAGGAGGAAGGACAGGCTGCGGGCAGGCTGGGCACCACAGGCTACTCCTTTCACCCCCAACACAACCCCAGTCTCCAGAGGAAGCAGGCCCTGAGGGGCAAGATAGCCTGGGGTCAGAATAAAGGGTTTTTATGTTAAAAAAAAAAAAACTACCAATTTTAAAGTACTATAAATTGATTTATTTTTTAATACTGAGGTTCAAATAGGATAGCTCTTCTGGTTTGGCCTTGTCCTATGGTCCCGATATTTGCAAACTGTATTCCCTTCAGTTAACAATCTCTCAAGTAGGTACTCCAGACCTTCCAGCACCCTTCCAAAGTCCCTCTTACCTCAGCTCTCCACCACCTCCTGGGTATGCCAGACCCCTCATTAAACTAGCACAATTGGGGTTACGTAACTGCCCCTCCCTCATCTTCCCACTGCCTTGCTTTCTCTAACACCACTATTTTTTTTCTAATTTGTGGGGGGTGTGTATGTGTGTGGAAGGGGGTGGGTATGTATGGGTGAGTGGTTGTATGAGCTCATACACATGTGGAGACCAAAGGTTAATTTTTTTGTTATTGTTCTTTATCTTTTTGGAGGAAAGGCCTCTCTGGAGCTCACTGACTTAGCTAGGCTAGCCAGCCAGTGACCTGGGAGAGCTGCCTGTCTCTGCTCCCCAACATCACCCCGCACCGCTCCTTAGCAAGTCTTATCAGATGTAGTCGGTCTTTCTTCTGTGGGACTGCTAGCTCCCCAACAATGATACAGAGGCTTAGTATCAACTCTGAAAGCTTGGCTTTAGCTTAGACTTTTTCCAGACTGGCTCTTACAACTCAACTAACTCATATTTTTTAATCTACATCCTGCCATGTGGCTCGGTTACCTCTTCTTAGTACAGCACATCTGATTGCTCTGAGTCTGCTGGCAAAACTGTGTATCTAGTGCCTAGATTTCCTCCTCCCAGTTTCTTTCTCTCTCTCTCTCTCTCTCTCTCTCTCTCTCTCTCTCTCTCTCTCTCTCTCCTTGGAAGTCCCACCTACTCACTCCTGCCTAGCTATTGGCCGTTTAGCTCTTTATCAGACCAATCAGACGGCGCCTTAGGCAGAGACACATCTTTACAGTGTAAACAAATGTTCCTCATCACCGTTCTCCATGCTGAGGTTATAGAGCCCCCTGGAAGGCTTCCAGGGGATGAAAACTCAGGTACTCATGATGATGTAGCAAACATTTTATCAACTGAGCCATCTCCTCAGCTCCTCTACCTTACCTGGTTTGATCATCTTTCTTAAAAAAAAAAAAAAAACAAAAAAAAAAACCCTCTAACTGTTTAAAAACAAAATCTCTTCTCTGGATTTCAGCTCTCCCTGACCCAGTTTACCCCACCACCCCTTCCCACGTCTCTCCCACCCCAGCTTCAAACTTGTGTAGACAGTGTACGAGGCCCAAACCCATGTTGCCTCATCTTCTTCCTTTACTCCATTCCCGCTAGATGTGTTCATTCCAGCCCTGGCCTCCTGAACAACCAGGCTCCAATGGCCCCAGCTGCTTTCTGTCTCCTGACGCCCAGCCACTTCTCGGTACCCCTTGACCAGGTGTCTTGAATAGCTGCCTGCTTCATTCTTTCCCAAGTTCTGACGATCTTTATCAGCTAGACTCTGGCCCCCAAACCTCCAAAGCCTTTCCATGCTCTCCGTTGTCCTCTCTCACTCTACTCCATTGCAGCTTGGGATAAGTAGCTTCCCTCGGCTCACATGAAATGGAACCCCAAACTCTGTACACTGACTCTCCCATCCATCCTCACAGCCTGCCTTCCTGCACTCCCATCCCAGAACCCTGTGTTAGAAATAACTATTGGATCCCTAACCACCACCTTGTCTCATGTTTAATCCACTCTCTGCTCAGGGTAGTCTTCTTTCCCTCACCCCAAACCACATTGCAACAGAACCCTTTCTAAATGTCCTAACTGCTCCTGACTAAGAGTCCGGTTCTACTCTGAAACCCCATCACCCTGCCGTCTTTGTACCTGCAAGCACACTCAACCTATGACCATGGGCTGCATGTGGCAGCCTGTGGTGAAGGGTAGCTATAAACTCTTTCTAATACAAAACCATAGACTTACTTAAAACATGATGAGATACTTTTCCGATTTTCAGACTGGATCGTTAGTCCTCAAATGTCAGCTTTATAGATGGCAATGTTGTATCAAAATGTCAACAGATTGGGTGCACTTGGTGGAGTTTTGAGTGCATGTCCTATCTTTAATGAGAGTGTGCTTTTCCTAGGCTTGACTCCCACATTCCCAGCCCAGCCATTTCCTGCTACATATATTTGAGGAGTGTGTAATCAGCCAATATCCCAACAGAAGACAGTAATGACTATCTTACATGTTTTTATCAATAGGGTTTGAGTGTGGGGGCATGAGAAAGTGAGACCTACCTGTCTCATTAGGTGGCGAAGTTTAGGATTAAAATCGCACAGACAGGGTGAGTTACAGGTTCAATTTCGCTTCTCGTTTTCAGTTGACACTGGCAGACTTTAACTGCTATTTCCAGCAATGGTTTTTCTCTCTCTTTACCCCCTCCTCTTCCCTCACCCTCCTTTTCAACTTCCCTCCCACTCCGTCTCCTTCCCATGGTGTTCTATGTATAAGATTACACCGGCTTGCTCTTTGGGATTCAACCCAAGTCCCAACCATTAAGTCATCTTGGCCTATAGAGCTTTCAGCCTGTTCCATTCCAAAACAAATGTAGTGACTTTTTATTGAAACAGAAACAGTTCCCACTTGGTGAAAAATAATTCCAGGAGCCAAGGCTCAGTCAATACAATACCTGTCGCACAGGTATGAGGACCTGATGTGGATCTGCAGCACCCCCACAAAAGCTGAGCCTAGTGGCATGCACTGTGGGATGATGGGCAGGGATGGGTAGATCCCTGGAGCTCATTGTCCAGTCTGTTCCTCCCAAATCAGTGAGCCTCAGCTGTAGTGAGAAAGCCTGCCTCAGAAGCGAAGGTGGGGAGTGATGGAAGAAGACCCCAGTACTGACCTCCACCTCCATACACGTGCATGCACACCAACAGGAGCATGCGCACTCACCTACACAAATATATACATACATATACCACACACGCACCATAATTCAAAGAGAGCAAATTACATGAGAAAATTCTCCTGTTTACATCATAGTCCCTCAGTTCATCAACTCAGAAATAACTTATGCACCATTTTCCTGGTCATCTTTCTATACGTTTCCTCTTCTTGCAAATACACTTACACACATACACGGAGAGACAGAGAAAGACAGACAGACAGAGCCAGGCAGGCAGACAGGTGAAAGCAGAGACATAAAGATTTATGTTACATGTATTTGTTGCTTTTCATAAAAGCAAAGGAACACAATGCACACATGTCTTATGTGTCTTGGGTCCTTTCATTAAGAGCAGTCAGTGGTTTATGAAACTAACTTAATAGATCTAAATCCCTTAGAACATTGCTTGAGCCCTAGTAAATGCTAAATCAATGTCCCTTCACATGGGGTGGGGTCAAAGAACAGGCTTCGGCATTCCAGTCTCTCAGAGCACCAAGACCAACATGGTTCCACTGGACAGGGGCCCCAGGGATGCTTCCCCAGAAACAAGCCTCTGAAGACTATACTATTACCTCCCCTGGCGCCTGGGTGGCATTTGGAAAAGATGTTGCCATCAGAGGTCACACTGCCTCAAAATAATTCCGTGTCTCTCCCTCCGGTACAGATACATCTAAACTACGCATGGGGAAATGCGGCTTCATGGCAGATTTTGCTGCAGCTATTATCAGAAAACTGAGAAATGCCTTCTGCTCTTTCATTCATCACATCACAGTAGCAATGTTAAACTCAACTAAGAAGAATGAATGACATTAAGCCCTCAGTCTGGCTAAAGATGGCTCAGCTCCACACCAGGTCGGAATGTTCCTGAAAGGTGATGAATGGGGAGAGACTCTTGCATTTGGTTCTGGTTCCAAATCTCCCCACTGGGATCCCCTAATGAAAGCAGAACTTGTGGCAGCTGGAAATTCCGAGGTTAATCAAAGCAGGGGCAAGGGCAGGCCTGGAGAGGAGACCAGAGAGGTCTGTCCTCTCCCATGCAGTCTTTGGTTCAGACTCCCTTGCCTAATGGCATGAAGACTATGTGCTCTGGCCACACAATTTTCAGTTCCCCAGAGACACCTTTTCATTCCCTGATGTAGAACGTGACAGAGGCCTTTCACTTGCCCAGGCCATCTGACCCACAATGCACCTGTCACACTCAGCAACCAAGGTAGCCTGGGGGTAGGATGCGGGGAAGGGCAACAGTTTTGAAATATGGGGTTATTTGGGTGTCTGGGGAATTCGAGAGAACTTGTGACTGCACTTGGGAGGGAGGCTGGTGACTTAAATAAACATGGACCGTTCCAGAACAAATATAATTGAGCTGATTTAAATTCATCACCCCCCCCTCCCTGCCAGGGCGTCCTGTTTTCAACGGGCATCATTTGTGTGTTCATGGGTCTGTGCGCACACTCCCCAACCAAAAGTTAGGAGAAATGCCAAATGGTAGCCCTCCCAATACTATCAAGAAGGAAACAAGAGATGCCTGACCCCATGCTCTACCCCACTGAGAGGCTTCTGCGGGGTGGGGACCGGGTCAAAATAAAGCCAACTACGGCAGACAACTGTTTTATGCCACAGGATCTCAAAGCCCTGCAGCGCCCGATACACGTGACCCACATAACTACACAGACCGACCCCGGGCGCGGGGAACAAGCCAGTGCCCAAACAGCTGCAGCCCCTTCGCAGCTCGGCATGCCGTGCCAAACACCTCCAAGGGCCTGACAAGGAGAAGATGTCAGTCCAGGAGGAATCTGAGTCAACGCGGTTGCGAGTGGCACTGATAAGAACAAAGAGATGAAAATGAGCCCAGGCAGTTGAGGGACGAGACCTCAGAAGATTTGTGTCCTCGGCCAGGACCTGGAGGTCCTTGGTTCTGCTCTCACCAGAGGCCAATGACTTCACAGAAGCGCTGTGTGACCATGAACATCTGTCACCATAATTCCCTAATGCCCACCTGAGGCAAGAGATAAAGCCTCCCTCAAACCTAAAGGCACCCTACTTTTACCATATCAGCACTTGGTCAGTTTGATTGCTGATCGCTCGTCAATGTTCCATACCAGGGAAAAGAGATACGGTATGGCTGCAAGAAGTGATCAAGCCAGCCCTTGAGAACCCTGGGTGAGAACGAAAAGCCAGGGGACAGCAGCATGCACAAACAGTGTGCCAGGGCTCAGACCAGAGAAGAGTTCGGGCCACCCTGTCACTTCTCTTCATGCAAGGACTGAGGCCGACGTAGGCTGTGCCTTATCCCGAGCAAGGGATTGGTGTAAGGCCAGTGCACACAGATGGAGGAGAGGCCCACGGTTGGGCATGAGTTTGGGGAAGGGGTCAGACTCCCTCCAGGGAAGGATGGATGACAAGGCGATGCAGCTGTTGCAAGGGGCTGTGCTGTTCCAGTGGCTTTAGGGAATTAAGTGAGACAAAACACTTAATACAGTCTGGCTTCCAGTTGCTTACATGGAGAAGCTCTGTGATGTAGTGAGACCTCTGCTGTTCTCCCTCGCCCTCTCCCTCCCTCCTTCTCTCTCCTCATCTAATCTGTCTGGAAGACCTATCGCTCCTATTTCCAACCTGCAAACAAAATCCGGCCCTTCCTGGCCATTCCCACTGGTGTGCACGCCATGCAAACCACCATTATCTTTGACGTCCATCTCTGTGTCTGCAACGGCTCATGCGGCAGAGGTACCTTTAAAATCGAAGTCAGATGGTGCTCTTCTTCTCCCTTCTGGAAACCCCCCAGCCACTCCCCCGTCTAACTCAGGAGAAGGGAGAGGCTACGGCCCTCTCATCACCCTGGAAGACCCTCTGCCTGCTGACCCTGTGGCTGCTCAGTCTCTACCTCCCACCACTCCTCATTTCCCTCGCTTTCTCCAGCCAGGCTCATCTTCCTCTTGGTCAAGACCGCTCCTACCTCAGGGACTTCCTGAAATGTTGTCTCTGGGTCTTGGGGGGACCTCTTTCACAGAGGTCATAACTCATCCCCTCAGCTCCTTGAGGCCTTTCCTCATCTGTCCACCTAGGGGACTCCACCTCATCCAGAACTGCCCCTTTTGGGGTGCCCTATTTTTTTTTTTAAACCGCGTTCCACATTCTAATGTCATGAATAACATGTGTCAGTTACGAACAGAGATAATTCTAGTAAAGGAGTCTGTGGGTGACTTTGCTGTGGTGCACTCACTAGAGAGTAAGGAACTCACTCCACTGTCCCACGTGCAATCCATTGCTGAGTGAAACATCATTTGATGCACATGAATATGTAAGTATGTATGATGAAGTTACTGTGTGTTTATTGTGCATCTCTCTCTGTTAAAATGTAAAACACCATGAGAACAAGGAGTTAGATGGCTGTTGACTAGAAGGGGAAACCCCTCCATTGCTACACCATCCATCCTTCAATACATGTGTTGAAGTCATTTATTGAATATACCCACACAATACTAGGCACTGTCCTGTGGTGATATTTTATTTGTGCTCTAATAAATAAATCTTGTGTGGAGATCAGAGGAAAAAGCCAGCCACTATATTAAACACAGAGGCCAGGCAGTGGATCCAGATCTCTGTGAGTTCAAGGCCACACTGGGAACAGAACCAGGTATGGTGGCACACACCTTTAATTCCCAGTACTAGTTAACCATAGAGGTCTCGAGGTCTGTACAGCCAGACAGGAAGTGATAGAGCTGGACAGAAAGAGGAAGTGATGTAGCAGGGCACAGAAAGGATATAAGAGTGAGAATACAGGAAGTGGCTCTCTCTTGGGCTGAGAATTTCCTAGCAGTAAGAACTTGTGGCTGTGGCTTGTTCTGTTCCTCTAATCTCTCGGCTTTCACCCCAATATCTGGCTCCAGTTTTTTGTTTTTTGTTTTTTGATATTAATAAGACTGTTTAGCAATTTGTCTTACACTGTCCTGGGACCTAAAATACAAAGGTGTGCAAAACCTGTCTCCCTGCAGCTCTTGGCCTAGTGCATGGAGATGGATATTTCACAAACAAGGGAATAAAATTGACATAAGAAAACTGTTAAAATCGTCCAGGAAGGACATGTGTTTGTAGTTAAATAGGTGGTAGGTGAGTGAAAATTACTGATAAGATTTAAGGTTCACTTAGAAGATGGGGAGTATGCACATTATGAATGAATTGAGGAGAACTCTTATGACAGTAGTGGGTCCAAACTTTCTGATTCAAGAAACTTGGTGGTAATTACTAACACTTTAATTGGTAGAGAAGGCTAAATAATGGTTTTCCAAAAGATATTTGTACTCTGTTGTGGAATATTATTTTAACTAAGGCAGAGATGTGTTATATTGGTTTATGCTGCAGAATATTACTTTAGCTGTGTAAAGGTGTGTTACTTTTGTGTGTGCTGCATTTGTTTGATTGTGTAAAGATGGGTTGCATTTGTTTCACTTTGCCTACCTAAGCACCTGATTGGTCTAATAAAGAGCTGAATGGCCCATAGCTAGGCAGAGAAAGGATAGGTTGGCCTGGCAGGGGGCAAGAATAAATAGGAGGAAACTCTAAGCTTGAGAGAGGAACAAGAGAAGGAGGAGAAGAGAATGAGGGAAACACCCAGGGCCAGAAGGCAGGCAGCTGCCAGACAGCCAGACATGAGAAGCAGTGAAAGGAAGATATAGAGAAGGAAAGAAAAGTAAAAAGCCCAGAGGCAAAAGGTAAAGAGAAACAGGTTAAGTTAAAAGAGCTAGCCAGCAATGAGCCTAACCTAGGCGAAGCATTTACAACTAATAATAAGTCTCCCGGTCATGATTTGAGAGCTGGTTGGTGGCCTAAAACAAAAAGCCTGGTAGAGTACTCTTAAGCCCTAAGACCTGCGAATCCCACCTTATTGGGGGAAAATAGTTTTTGCAGGTGTAATTTAATTGAGGTTGTTAAATGGGCAAATTATCAGAATTCTCTGAGTAGGTGCACATGTAATCATGTACATAGCGATGAGGAGCTGATGGTGGGAATGGGGTGACATGACTATAGTCACAGACCTCAAGGGGCTGAGCTGGACAGACTGCAAAGCGGGTGTCTGGCTGGACTAAATAAAGTGACCTCGTGTCAACCTTACAAAGAATTGGGGTCACAGGAATGCTTAAGCGCATGCACACAGAATAGAGGGTCAACAGAGAGAGAAATGATGGTGCTGCCTTAAAGATAGATGGAAAGATGTGGCCGTAGGCAAGCTTGAAAGTTAATTTTACATATTACCCTGACCGTGCACGGGTTTCCAGAGGTTTGTTCAAATAGAGTTCTGCGTGCCTGTGGGGTTGTTCCTGGGGGCTCCTGAAGCAATTGCCCTCCTGCTCTGAACCTCACTCAATCGGCTGAAAATAACAAAAAGGCTAAGGAGGAAGCCATTTTTCCTCTCGGACTTCTGAACTGGGGTACCAGTCTTTTCCTCCCCTCACCCTGGAACTTAGAGTGCTTGTTGCAGCTTGGTGACTGTAGGACATGAGACATGTCAGCCTCTTTGATGGATGGATAGATGGATGGATGGATGGATGAGTGGATGGATGGATGAGTGGATGGATGGATGAGTGGATGGATGGATGAGTGGATGGATGGATGGATGGATGGATGAGTGGATGGATGGATAAGTGGATGGATGGATGAGTGGATGGATGGATGAGTGGATGGATGGATGGATGGATGGATGGATGGATGAGTGGATGGATGGATAAGTGGATGGATGGATGAGTGGATGGATGGATGAGTGGATGGATGGATGAGTGGATGGATGGATGGATGAGTGGATGGATGGATGAGTGGATGGATAGATGAGTGGATGGATGGATGGATGAGTGGATGG